ATATAAGCCCCTCGAATATAAGTCCCCCGCATATAAACCCAGTAGCCCACTACGTTATTCAACATTGACATTGTCTTTTAACATAGCAGAGAACGATATTTAAAAACATTGTCATTGTCTTTATATAATCAAAGCGCGTTATTGATACATGTTTATTTTCCTGTTTATGACTGACTTGTTTTATATGTCTGACTTATTTAATACTAACACAAAAGATCGTCCATGCATTAACATTACATAGACCCTTGTACGGTACTGTAAATACTGCTTCTCTTGTTTTACAATTATAACTTCATAGGAGCCTCTGGGAAAATTTTGCCCCGGATCCCCCGTCACTACTATATCAGTGAGCTTTCCGCCACATTGGATTGTTGTGGATATGCATGTTACGTCACAAGCAGGATCACGCAAAATTTATACCTATACACTCTAATAACTACAGTCCTGGTTAAATTGGTCATAATGCTGGCTAGTTTAACCAGGATTCCTGGATAATTTAACCAGGTTATATATTAACCAAGAATTCCTTGTTAATAATCCACCAAGCATAATCTTGTTAATTCAACCATATAGCCTGGTTAAATTAACCAGCAATCCAGGTTAAATCAGCCATGATAGTGATCAATCAGCCATGATAGTGACCAATCAGATTAACCAGGAATATGGTTAAATTGAATGGAACATTAAGTTACCCCAAAAAAGTTTTTTAACCAGCCAGGTTGTTTTATTAGTGTAATGGTCATTATGAGCCTAAAATTTGGACATCTTAAGGAATAGTTTTATTCAGCTATATATATAACGCCACTAAAACCACCATTAATGAGATCAAAATTTAATTCAAGATGCGTGGTTGGTTGCTGGCGAATTAAAGCCAATTGCTTTTAGTTATATCATCAGTAGCTTACGGTATACTCAGTATGACTTTATTTTTAGGAAGAGTCGCGTCATGCCCAGACTATGCAAGATCTTCGTCAACGTCGCGATATTTGCCTTTCACAAGCAGTAAGTGCTTGCAATCGTCGTACATTTTATAACGTATAGCTCAGTGTTTATAACCAACATACCTGAAGTTAAGAGATTTTTCTTGACATAACACCCTATAAATAGTACAGTATAATACATATAGTAATAGTACACATGCGAACATGTTTAGTTTTTTGGTATTGTCCATGCACCTTTGACGCCCATATTTATACGCGGGTACATGTTTCACACACAGGGAGGGGGCATTGCTTTCCCCCAGACCCCGTAAAGCCTATCGATGTGCATAGCCATATAGTTATCCTTTCTGGTATTGGTAAGATATATACCATTGTAGTTATGTTAAAATTAATTGGTTAATTTTAAATAGCCCATAGATTGGTTGTCTACAGTTGGTTGTATATACAGTTAAAGTACAGCCATGCAGAGTTGCGAAAGTATTCAACCTCCTTCCGAGTAAAATATCAGGTTTTCAAACCTTCCTCAAAATTATGTGGATCATGGCTTTTTCAATTTGCCCAATATATAAATTTTTTCATTCAAAATCGGCCTCTTCTGACTATAGTATGTATTGTGCTCGCATACCGACAATCACTACAGGCTGGCCACTGCTAGCGAATATATATGTTACAATTGCTACAGAAACACGGTCGCCAGAAAGTAGAATGTTACACATTAAACTTCCTCACTGGCCTCATGTATAGTAAACCTTCCTCACGCGAAACAGCAGCTTTTGTGTAACCCTGATGCCATGCACCGTATTTTAATTAATGCAATTAATTAAATAACTATTTAAGCGAATTTGTTCGCGCGAAACGAAGCGAAAAACACTTCTTGGCAATGCGATTGGTCAACGAAAAAATTCGCCGCGAAAAAGTTGGATGAGTTCCTACTTTAAGCCCAGTGGAAGATGGGCTTAATATAACATTTATTCTGATTTGTTTCAAGGTAACAGCACTCATTTGTGGATTTGAAGCTAAAGTTTACACATCGTTGTTGAACGAAAGTTTTATGAAACAACTTTGTCAAATTGGTGTCTTAGCAGAATTTGAATGTCTCCTTAGTACTTACGGTAAGTTTAACTAGAGTATCAAATTCTTTCAAGAGACTTTGTGGGAGTGTATTTTAAAGAGATTACGTAATATGTGTATACTGCATTGACGTGTATTTGCAATTACTGCACATTTCGTGGAATGAATTGAAATTCCAAATCTAAGATACTGCATGTCAGCAATTTATAATATCCTCGCCATCACAATAATTATATGAAACCTTGAGAGCGCACTGAATCTCATTGTATTTGTATACGATGCATTATCGCGCAGCAGATGGCGTTCAAATGGCTGTAGTATATCATAGTGATAGTATATCAATAACGAATTTTTTCATTCATGCAATGGATGTTATTAAATTATTTATCAAATGAAATACGTGATGTTCAAAATGAAGAAAACGTTCCAACTTGCAAGTCCCAAAAATTGTTTAATGAAGGAATAATATTGCCTGAAATCAACATTATCCGTAACTGATTTGTAAAAAAATAATATATTTTTACACCCGCCATTTTGCTTCGCACAAGCTATGGATTTGCATAAATTCTATCGGCCTCGTTATAGAATCATGCAAGCATTAAATAGCGGCGACCGCGATAAGATTAGCATTTTGAGTTACTGTATTTAATGAAAACCAAACGTATGGAAAAACGTGTAGAACCAAAATCCATGGCTGAACCGCATGTAATGGAACTTTTCATAGCTTGATCATGAAAATGTTTTTTTCAATGTCGCGTGGTCATAATCATCCAATTAATTGACGAGAGTTTAATGAGATATCATATAATACACCCTTTCGATAATTAAGTTACACATACTTTTTGGTCTTCAACTTGGAGCCTCGCTCTCGTTAGTAAATTACGCAAAGTGATTGGCTCACGATTCATGAGAGCGAGGCTCCCAGGCCAAATGACGTAATTATCGAAAGATGCATTAAAACCTCTATTGTTATATTTTATTTATTTTACAAGTTTGCCATTGCAATAGATCTATAGACTACTATAGTTACAAGTGACTGGAACAAACAAACGAACGAACAAACAAACAAACAAACAAACAAACAAACAAACAAACAAACAAACAAACAAACAAACAAACAAACAAACAAACAAACAAACAAACAAACAAACAAACAAACAAACAAACAAAAACTAAATTTAATGCAACATGTTCGATTTGATAAGTTCATTAGTGGGTGAGTGGTGTGACATTTAATACAAACATTTATATTCCTTATTATCCATGTTAATCATGTCACTCTTGCAGGTGATGAAATGGGAATGTTAGAAGACATGTCCATTGCAATACGTGATCTTTCAGCTGTCAAGTTTAAGGTTTGTTTAGCTGATTATGGAACAATGTGTAAATTAGCCTGCAAAGCAGGCATAAAATACAAGAAAAAAGACAAAAATCAGAATTTTAGATTTATCATAAATGTTGAGATTTTAGAGTAGCATTGAATATCTTTACTTTAAATGAATAAATACTATAACTATATGTGTGAAGATCTTTTCCTGCAATTTATAATTATTTATACAATTTTAATTTACAAGGTTTGTGTATTCTTTTTCAGTTTGCGTGTTCTGATAGCGACTCTATTCCTTATGTTACTGGAACAAGGTATTCACAATTTGTATATATTACACTACAGAAAATTTTACTTGAGTGTATATAATTTCACCTGTGTATGTTTTTCCGTAGCACTGACAAGGTGGATCAAACAATATTTTATCATATAATATCACATGTAATTTTATTTTAAGGACAAACATTCAAGTTACCATTCTCCTCGAAACAGAGTATTTCTGTTATTTACCCAAAGAATTGCAAGAAGGAAAATTAATTCAAGTTTCATCAGTTCTCTTTACTCAAGGAATCAATGAACATGCGACTTTGGCTGAAAGGTAAACGAGTGCACTTCCTACGCCACTTCCACAATGGAACCAAGTTTAAATATTCCTTAATGTGCATCACTGACAATAAGCTTTTAAAGCATGCAGGGCATAGTCTACCAAGATTTTATGATGATCTGGAAACAAAACAGAAGTCATTGTGTGTTTGTCTGAGTTTATGTTAATTTTTGTACAGTCACAGTAATTGAGCTCATTGTATTTTCATATATATTGAAGTAATCCTTCAGTAAGGATTTGTGCACGGGGCGGTCCAGTTCAACATCTAACAAAGGTCTTATATCTTGTGATTTCGAAGCTTCCAGACAATGATATCTTGACAGACTATGTGCAGGGGAGCCATTTATAGGTGTGTATGGCATGCATGGATATGCAGTAGAGTGTGCTTATGTGTATGGGTGGCACTTCATGCATATACAACTCACCATGCACGCATATACAACTCGTCAAACTTTCGAATAATCCATTGAACAACGGTTAAACAGCAACCTGTAATTGGCACATTGCATTTTAACCCCTATTGAGGACATCCATTTGTTGGCCCCTCCCTTTGAATTTCGCAGATTTGTATTGAATTTTTAGCCTCCCCTGTGGAATTTCCACAACTTTTTTTAACTTCTACTGACCCATCCCATAAAATTCCTTGACAATTTCTGACCTATTCAATTTGTGACCTATTCTATTTTATTAATTTCTCGATTAGTTGCTATCCCTTGGAAAATTCCTTGCTGATTTTTTACCTATCCTCTGGAATTTCTTTTCCATTGTTGATCATTCCATGGAAACTCCATAAGTTTTAGTCACTTTTTATACCTACACTGTGGAATTTCCACAGATTTGCCTTTAAAATGGGCCCTCTCATGGAAATTCCTTCATTTTTTGTTCACTTTTTTTGGGGGGGCTATTGGAAATAACGATGTCCTCCATGAGGAGATGGTTGGTTTAAAAATGCAATGTGCCAGCCAATAAGACACATTTGAGTTTTACGAATGCAGCCTCCAAGTGCTCTCGGTTCGTTGCCAACAACTAATGTCTCACGCACAAATAAAAGCTCAGTGCTTAACATGTCTTGGACTACCATATAATTTTTTTAATTTTTTAACTACTGGATGATTGTGAACACTGGGTATAGTTATGAGCTCATTTAGTATATGCATACGAGCTGGAGTGTTCCAACCCGTGTACCTTCTGACTCAACATACGAACATTACTTTAAAATCCCTTGTCAACTTTACCATCGGACCTGGCTCTAATTGATAGCTGAATAACTGTGTAACAAAGCTGTGGCCACCATTTTTCGATCATGAAAGCATAGTAGGATATAGGTTGAGTATATAATTGCATGACATTTAAGGCAAAAAAGTTCAAACAGCTAAGATTTCCAGAAACAAAAGGAGGTCATATGGTGGGCCTGGTGACGGCCCAAATCCCCACCACCACCACCACTGTTTACACTATGTATATTTTTTAAGGTTTGGAGATACATCACTACAAGAGGCGATCAATGATGAACATTTCAGTTACATTAATTTATATTACGAGAAGTTCCGGGAACATTTTCCTGAAGAAGGTCTGTGTTCAATCATTAATACCATTAAATGCAGAGCTCAATAATACTTTTCCTAGATGTTGGTCTTACTGTATGCATACAGGGGTACAACTTTCAACGTCTGCCATGTGGGCGAGATTTTTTAAATTTGCCTTAAAAGTCGAAGAAATATTGCAGTAAAACTACTTTGATATGCATCTGTAATACGCTTGATGTGCAATTGTCCATTGGTCCAATTTATGTGACGAGGTAGTCTTTGCTCGTGGTAGTCTTTCCTTATAGTTATCCAGTCGGATATAACTTTTGACTGGCCAACCGAAAAACCAATCGAGTGGAAAAATTATCGGTATATACTGTATAATGTATCTTTCTATCCATTCTAGCAAACGCTGTAAACCCCAGAGAACCTGCTCTATATGTTCTAATGGAACATCTTAAAACAAGCATCGCCACCAAGAAAAGCAAGAATGTCGAAATCTTATTTCTTGCACAAGAGGTGGGTAAAATGTGGAATACAAATTAAATTATATAATAACTCCAGTGAAACACGCAATCTGATTGGTCAATACCCGTGCAGGGTGTGTCAGTCCTGCAAGGAAAATTGAGATGCCTTCCGCGGAGTTTTCAAAATGTCGGACAAAGAAAATATTTAAATGCGTGAAATAAACAATAACAGTATATTAAACGAGCGGCAAGTTCACCAAAACAGTGAACAAAGGTTTACAATAAGAACTGTAGAGAGTGGATTAACTTGACCATTGTTTCACTAGCATGTAGTTATTTTATAAAACAATTACCGAATGGGTTTTTTCGTGCATATTTTTGCTATTATAGAATATAGCAAAAATAGCTCATTTTCAAACCACGATAACTCTTCAGTTTTATGGAGTAGATTCATGTTTTAAAGTATCATTATAAAGAGTAAACACTCCTGAATTCACTCATATGATTTTATTTTAGTTTCCTTGGAAAAAAGTACAATTTACTCGCGAATAATTCAATGCCTCTTTCAAGGTCATGTTCATTGACCCAAAACATGCATAAATACAATGGGGATTTAACATAAGTAAAATGCGATATATATGCAAATGCAAAAGTTATCAAAACATACCTTTGAGAAAACGAGATCTTCACAGCAAAAATCGCAATATATTTCAACAGGTTTTAATCGAACGGCGCGTTGAGAATAAATATCTTGAATAATAATGAGCCGCATTGATTTGCGCGTTGCATTTCGGGAAGACCCTCATTCCTCCTCTGGGATGTGCTATAATCATCCTTCCTTGCAGCTGAGAGCTAAGCTGAATTACGAAGGACGCAGCTTAACCTGATCGAGTCGAAGGCTTTCTAAGGGCGCCTCTGGCAGCCACCTTATGACTCATGTCTGATCACGGAGCACAGCGACGATGGAAGGGTCAGTTAGGGGGATAATCCCAACCCACCCTGTCAACATTCCCCGTGGAAGGAAACTGGAGTACCCGGAGAAAACCCACGACTTTCGGTAGAACGTTGACTCACTCTTTTCACATAAGTGTCATGCAGGAGTCCGTAGCGAGAATCGAACCCACGATCTCAGAGGTGAAAGGCGCTTGCTCTGACGGTTGCGCCACCGAAGCCCCAAGGTTTCTCTGATTGGTAACCTCCCCGACATAACGTAGCGACGCAACGTAGCGAAATGCGCGCTATAGAGGATATTAGCAGCCGCCTGCATGTATTAACGAAACACCTACTAAGAACACCGCGGAAAACGTCTGCGCATGCGTCAACCTTTATATGTGAACGTGGTGTCAAAAATGTCAAGTATTCCGAAGGTTGTCAAAAACTCAAAATGGAAGCGACAAGGAGCGACTTCGATGTTTTGCCTTTTCTGTGAAAATGAAAACGGAATAATGAATGTGACAACCTTAAAACTAGAAATAATTACAGTCCACATGTGCAAGAAGAAGTATTATGCCAGAAAATGATCCAAAGGTGACTGTCGTCGAAAAACATATTATTGTGTAAAACATTCTTTAATTAAACCATACAAAGATATTTTTCGTAGGTTCATATGATCCACATTTTTGTCATTAACTTTTTTTGCGTGGCATGTATAATTTTTGCGTTGACTATATTTATCGTGTACAAAATGCTTAAACTATTTCATAGTTTTCGTAACTTTTGTGTCTTAAGTTCGGCATTCAACAATTTTTCAAGAAACTTTCACACGCCTCCAGGTCTAAAACTAGAATTTTTAATTTAAATTCTGTTTCTTTTTAGATTTTAAGTGTTAGAAAACTTTTTATTAATGTCTAAGCTACCCGTCTAGTGTATTTTTTGTTTGTTTCATTTGCCTTAAATAATTAAATAGACTTGTTCTTGTTTACAATTTCGCATTTAAATTCCTCGTCATTTTTTCTAGTACACGCGTATGCGCAGACGTTTTTCCGCGTTTTTGTGCTCCTTTATATGAAGAAAAAAAAAATTGAGGTGTGTACATAAGCTTTAGTTATTTTATCTCACTTTGATTAGTTTGATATGCCACGTTTCTTTAGATTTGTTGGGGAATGAATGGTATTCGTTTTACCAGCTGTAAAAGTGCCAAAGATAGAACTTCAATGTCCGTCACTTTAGAACAATGTTCAATACTGAAACGTAAACATAATCTTCAGCCTGAAATATTTAATCAAGCCATAGATGTCATGCGAAGGTAAGTCATTTCTTACTATTGAGGTTGTGGCATAACTATACATAATACATTTTTTTTGGAAGGGCTTCTTTCATAAATCCCATCACACATCGTTAGCCCGATTTGAGGGTTTAAATTCATGTTAGAACGAGAAACAGTCAGTGGTAATAGCAACTGATGCAACTTTCGAATTTTCCCGCTAACCAATCACATTGCGTAAATTTGTTTTTCGCTTGGCTTCGCGCGAACAAATTTGCTTAGTAGAAAGCGGGCTTAATTTCCATCTGCATTACAAATCATCGTTGCAAATCGTGCTGTGTAACATCGCCCTTAGCTTCATTCAAAGCTTTAGGTTCAGCAATACCTGTAGTACATTTAATGTGATACTTTTGTGAGTGAAGCAATCTTATACCATGGGCAAGGCAACATATTAAATGCACCTGAGCTACATTTTCTTGAACATTTCAGTGGAGGAACACGACGTGACAACTGTTTTAAAAACGCTGGTATACGACGTTATGCCTTCAATTACTGGCAAGTTATGGCGTTACCTCGTCTATACCGACCTCCAGATGGAACATATGGCAAGAATATACAAGCCTGAAGCGAATAGTGTACAGTAATAATTATTAATATGTATTGTATTCACTATATTCGTACCTTAATTCTGAATGGTCAGCAGCTTCAGCTAAATATGGAAATCACGCAACCTAGATATAACACAGTTATCCACTAGCAGATCAGATCTGAGTTATGTGTAGATTGAGCCCACGAAATTTAATTTTGTAGCAAGCAGCAGTTTTCATACACAACATGAAGAAACGGCGTTAAGTGAATGTGATTTGTACAAAAAGCAGACCTTTTTGACATTTTATCGGAACTCTAGTAGGTACATAAGATTTCTAATAATTATTTTCATGTTCTAATTGAGATATTTTAAATCGTTTTACTGCTTTTTGTTTGAGAACCAAACGTTATTTTGTGCGAAAATCATTGTTTGTCGAAAACGTTAATGAAAACGCAATGTATACATATACAATACAACAGTTATTGAAGTCTCAACTCAGCTCGACTGATAACACTTTCCTCGAACTCTCGATATCACAGAAACCTCATCCAATAACTGTTTAATATAACAAAGGTAGGAATTGAATAACGGAGAGAAACGTGAATAATGAAATAATTAGAGCCTAGCTAATACCAAGCTGTAAAAAATACCAAAGCTGCAGAGTTGCAAAAAAGCTGCAGGTATGCGGGTACCACCCGTGAAAAAGGTTTACCATATGTGAGGTCAGTGAGGAAGGTTTAATATATACTGGGCCCACCTGAATAAACGTCTGTTGGCAGGCTAGGTTTAATATGAAACACTCTACT